CTGGCGGGCCGACACCAGCCCCTGAAGGCGCCTCTGTCTCTCCTCTGCTGTGGTGGGTGGAAGGATAATTATGCTCATCCTGTTGCTGAGTCCTCTGTTTGGCCTGTTCGTACTGTCAGGGTTCAGGAAGGATGAGGGAGCGAGGACTCAAGTGCAAACAGGATGAGTTATTGATAATAAAAATAAAACAAAATTAGAACAAAAACCACCCCGAGGGGGAAAGACATAACTATAAAACAAACACTCAAACAAACTTGGATGGGCTGGCAGGACAAACAGGACTGGATAGCACACGACATGGAAATAACGACGACGACGAACAGGCAAATGACTGAAAACATGAGGGGGATTATAAAGCAAAAAGTAAATTGACACACAGGTGAAGATGACAAACTAATAATGAGTAAACAAGGAGGGTGGGACTAGACAATAGACGGGAGAGCGCATGACACAGAGAGACAATACAAGCCATGCGCTCACATAACGCAACACTGAAGCACACGACAAAAGCACGTGACCACAATGTAAACACCAAGCCACGTGCTTTGACAAGAGACGCAAGACACGAGCACACGATAGATAAATACCTTACCGTGCGCTCACACATAAGCAACGCGCATGCTTCATCTCAGCGCCAACCAAAACTGAAACCAACTAGACGGAGGCGCCGAGAATAAAGCAGCGCGCTGCTGACAGAACAAACACAAACACTAGTACAAGAGCGCGCGCGTCTGAGGGACGCAGAGCGTGCGCGGCCACATCAAGTGGCAGCGCGCACACTCTGCGTACACCCACGACGGCGCGCGCGCGCACACAGAGACAGAAACAGGACCAGACGTGGAGTAGTGTCAGAGCTCTGCCACCAAAACAAGAATTTACAAGACCAAAGTGGCAGAACCCTGACACATATTTATATTTGTTTTAATAAAAACTAGTTTAGATTTGTCCACCTGTTGGGTTTTGGAGATATATGCATCACCATATGGGGCATTAGAAAAGGACTCGTGTTTGGATATAACTGTTTTTTGACCACACTTTGTTCTTATTGCTTATTTATTTGTTTGCTGGAAATTATAATTGAATTTAGAAATAGTTTTGAAAAATCTTTGCGTTTAAACTGAATGAAATATGTAGGTGAATGGATGTCTTCAGTGGAGTGAGTTTTCATCGTTTCCTTACTCTACGAAAATAAAGGAGTAAAGAGTAATCTAAAGAGAAAGTAAAGAGACTGAATCAAGGAGACTTATTTAACTTGTTTAACTGTTTTTTTTTTTTTGCTAGTGAAGGGTTCAGTTTTTAATTTAAGTGCACCATGTAAATAGCAAATGCGCCATGGCGTGATGCAACTGACTTTTAAAGGTAATGGGAGATGAGTGTCTGGTTTAATGCACGTTATGCTCAAAACGCCCATAACTCATTAAGATAATTAAGCACAACCCTGTTAGACCGTGTGCAATGTGTATTTTTTTGTTAAAATAGATCCCCCAGAATGCATTGCGTTGCTCTATAGGTAAGGAACAAGTTAACGTGGCAGCAGGTTTCACATAAATTAAAAAATTTCAGCTAAATAATAATAATTTCATAGAAACAGTTTTGTTAGTTGTTATTTCTGTTAAATTGGAAAGCAGGACAGTAAACGTTTTCTTCCAAGATGCTCAACTAATTAGCTGTAGTACAAGTTTCTACTCATTTAATTTTTATTAGCAAATATCACAATGTTTTTCTCATTCCAGCCCATTGACTCTTTTTTTTTTTTTTTTTTTTTTTGATCATTGAACTACCAAAAGTCCCATTTTGCTTTGAGTTGTCTGTGGCGCCGGGCATTCTGGGTATCCATAGGGGTCAGGAGAAGCAAGTGTTTGCAACATTTGTACAGATGTTGTGTTATTTTTATAGCTTTCCTCCATTTGCTGGGTGGCATTTCCTCCAGTGTTAACAGCAAGGTTAACTGCACACAGACGTGCTCAGGGACTCCGGCCAATTTTTTTATTGTTACACTAACTCAAGCAATTTTTCTCTCACTCACTCTCATTTCTGCCACACACACCCAACCCCCCCGTAGCACACACACTTACACACACACACACTCCAGTACACACTGACCCTCAGCTCCTGACTGAGAGACTGTAGATTTATTTGCTCCAGAAACATGTATGGCATTGAGTGTGATGCCGTAATGACTTCGCCTTCACGGGAGGTAGCAATGCTAAGCGCTAGGCCAGTAGTGTTTAGAATTCGCTGGAGGGCATTAATGCTACAACCCTTATTCCGGGATAGTTGGGAAGCTTTATGAATTGCAATAAAATTAAGAATATGTGATTTGTTTTAGCATGGTCTCACATCAGCCTTCCTTTAAATTACAGTAGTTAATTGTTTTGAACTCGAGAATACTTCTAATGAGTATAAACTAATAAGTTTTACAAACAATATTTTTAGCCAATCTGATACCAGACTTCAACTGCTCTCTAGTTTATGAGGCGCCATTTTATGAGGCGCCATTTACACGACAACATTTTCAAGCAAAAACAGAAAAGTTTGTATACGTTTTGCCTGTTCGTTTACACAACAGTGTCATTTTCTGGGACTGAAAATGCAAATGCGAAATGGGTTTCAAAGTGTAAATGCAGCAAGACAATGTTTTCAGGCAAAAACAGGAATGTTTTTTATACACTTTGCCTGGTCATTTGCATAGCAAGTCATTTTTTGGGAAATGCAAATGCGTAATGGTTTTCAAAATAGACGTTTTTAAAAATGTAGCAATTGCTGCATTATATTATATTGACGACAAGTACTAACATATACAACAAAGGCGATGTGGTAGTCAACCGAAGTTGGGTTTCATTGTCATTTCGCTACATGTGTGGACATACACAGTGGAACAAAATGTTGTGTCTCGCTGGACTTAACTTGACTACAACAACGCCATTGTTGTATATTTGTGTTTGTGCTTGCCGTTAATCTCGCCTATTAATCTTGCAGACTTTTGATTTTGGGTGTTGATATGGACACAAAAATTGCTGCATTTTTCAAAAAAGTGTTGTTGTTGCTCAAGTCTTTAGCCCCTTTCACACATACACACCTTTCTGTAAAATTACCGGCCATTTTCCAGAAAAGTGTGTATGTGTGAACAGGCTCTTTTTGAAAATACCGTTAAATTCGTTCTGGCTATTTTCCGGAAAGAGAAGTTGTAACAATACCGGTAATTTGCCGGAATGCTGCGCTGTGTGAACGCAAAAGGAAGATTGCCGGAATAAGCTCATGCACGTCTAGAACGTGCTGACGTGAGATGTCTGCTTTAGCCAATCAGAACAGTCAGACACAGTCACGTTCGCGCGGTTTATGAGAATAAAAGCCTTTGAATATTTTTCCAGACACATTTAGCTGCAAGAAATTAGTCAGATAACGTTTATATGTTCACCGTAATGCCAACTGTGTAATTAATTATCGAGAAGATGCTTATGATAAGCTGTTGTTTGTTTACCTTCAAGCTTTGCGTGTGCCGATAAACAGTCTATGAGGGCCAGCACACACACATATCATGTACATCTCGGCATACGAAAATGTTTCTCTATATGTTTTCATGGAAGTTGTTCACAATACTGATCCATCCATAGAGTTTGTGATGTAGTCAAATGTTTACAAATACAAGCGCAGCCGTTTAGAGCTCATTTCTGGTTAATGATGTCAGAATTACCGGTATTTTGGAATGGATGTGTGAATGCTCTTTTCCGGAAAAATTCCGTAACGTCCTCGCCTGTTTGAAAAGCGCTTTTTTGAATTTACCGGTAAAGTCATTCTGGAAATTTTCCATATATTTACCGCTATCACTGTGTGAAAGGGGCTTTTGTTAACACTTCATTAGCAAAATGTGTATTTACATCCCGTTACAACCAAAAGCAGTGACAAATTGTACACAAACTGCAAATGATATATAGACACAAGGATTGAGCTGCCTATAGCACATTGTCACTTCCCTAATTGTACTGTTTACTAACAGTGCCAAATACTGGCCTACGTGCATAATACAGCCATTTTTCAGCCATTTTTGAGGATATTTGTAAATGCAGATGGTTTTGAATACATTGTGTAGAAGTGAAACATTGTTGAGACACTACGGAAAAACGTTTCATGGCACTGAATATGCTGTTTTAAAAGAGAGATCTGAAGTAAAGATGTTTTTGTTAAAAGAAAGTTATGTTTTTTTTAGTAGGAAGTTGCTAGGCAACAGAGGCTCACTTATTTAAAGTCACTGGCAAAAGTAGCAGACACTGAAATACATTCATTCATTATGACCACTGTGGTAGTACTAGGTTGTTTTTAGCTACATTGTTGCTGTGTAAACCAAATCTGATTCTCGTTTTCATGATGGCCATGCATTTTCAGTCAGATCTGAACTTCAGGCCAGTCAAGCACATTCACTCTGTGTCTAATAGCCATAGACCTCCAATGAAAGATGTCATCTTGATAGCAGGTTTTCTGCCTTGCCCAACATAGTCCAGAAATATTTATCTGAATTCTCTGCATATTTTTCAGCATAATATATGTTAATATATCTCGGTTCGCTAACATAGTTCTTTGACATTTTGCATTAAGATTTTCTTTTATTCTTATTTGTTTTATAATTCTCACAATACCATTGGTTCACATATTGAGCAATAATCCAGGTTTTGCTTGCTTCAAACATGAAACCTCTTGTTTTATCACTTCATCTGCTTGTTGTGGACCGTTTCAAAACTGAAATATAAATATTCTATTACCTTTTTGCTTCTGTCTTATTCTAACTTATTAGGAGTATGTTGCTGCTATCAAAACTTGTTTATATTTCCAAACTATTTTTTTTGTATTTTTAATCAATTAAGTTGTTTAATGTCCCACAAAATATATGAAGTTTTTAAAAAAAATTGGGGTTGTAAATGCATTAGAGAAGCAGTTTTTTTTCTAGAACTTATCAAGATATGAAATGTTAATCAACGTTTCTGATTTGGCTTTTTTGTTACCAGATTACCAGACAGCGGTTGGTGAGCGCAGATGGAATAATCAACCCAAACGCTTTCTACATTTATTTGTCTGCCTGGGTGAGCAATGACCCAGTGGCCTACGCCGCATCCCAGGCCAACATCCGTCCACACCCTCCAGAGTGGCTCCATGACAGGACAGACTCCATTCCTGCCAGCAGACTTAACAGTGAGTAATTTCACAATCATTCTCCCCTGTCCAGTGGAGAGCATCATGACTAGGGTTGTAACGGTATGAATTTTTCACGGTATGATAATCGTCTAAAACAATACCACGGTTTGACGGTTTCGCGGTATACGATATGTTACAAATGTTACAAAATAATAGAACAGTGAAGCAAATTTGACTTTTTCCAAATAATATATTTTTAGTTACTATAAACAACACCACTTACAATGAACAAATAAAAATAAGAAAATAATAAATAATGTGTCAAAGTCCAAATAAACATGGTGCAAATCCTCAGTAAAAAATAGATATAAATATTTACTATACTATAAATAGTTACATAACGAAACTAGATTCAATATGGAACATCCTTAGGTTTTATGTGCCAGCATGGATATGGTTGTCTATCGATATGGATTTGGATATGGTTGTCTGCAATGCAGACAAACAGCTGCACCTTCATTTGCGTCTTTTGAAAACAGCAAGAGCAGCAGTTCGTCTTTGCCGTGTCACTGTTTTGTCATGTTTCTGTGCTGCTGTGCATGCAAAAGTACTTAGTATGAGAATTATTTCATGAAAAACTTTTTTTTTTGCGTTTTATTTAGCCGCGCATAAATGTATGCCTATCTCTCATTCCGTGTTGTTCAAAAAGCTCATGTTGGTCCACAAACAAAAGCGAAACCTATGCTTATTGGTTGTGATATAGCGAGTTTGAACCAATCTGGGCATGGAGGAGGGACAATGCATCAATGTATCATGTCTGATTTGTCCGGAGACACAGTGACGAGCGTTTCTTTGTCAAATCAGTGTTGTCAAATGTTGATGACGTATGTTATGTGATACAGCACTGGGAAGCTGAGATTCTCTTCTTTATGCCAATCTTTGAATTGTATGAATCGGATCAGCGGATCAAAAGTTATTAAACATTTAAGAGCAATACTTATTTTTAGCCGCGGGCGGCTATCTCGGTCTTTAAGGGTTAAAACCGTTGATATGCAATTGTTCATGGTATGATAATCGTGCACGTTCAAATCGTGGTAAACCGTCATACCGGTATATTGTTACAACCCTAATCATGACAATTATTATGATTGTTTTCTTCCTAAATTTGATATGCCATAAATCCTTTTTTTAGCATATTCATTTATAGATTTACACTACCGGTCAAAAGGGTGGGGTCAGGTTTTGTTTTAATTTCATGTTTTTTTTTTGTTTTTTTTTTTTAAGAAAATTATTCCGTGCATCAAAATATGCTGTTATATATTTATTAAAATGTTAAATAACTGGTTTCTTATTGTATGTAGTTTCAAATAAAATTATTATTAATAATAAAAATAATAATAGTTAATATTAGAGTGATTTCTTAAAATGTGACTGAAGACTGGAGTAATGAGGCTGAAAATTCATCTTTAAATCACTTGAATAAATGATATATTCAATTATAAACTACTTTTAAGCAATTATTTTATAGTGCAATAACATTTCACAATTGTACAATTTGTACTGTATTTTAGATTAAATAAATGCAGCCTTGGTGAGCAGGAGAAGCTTATTTTAAAACATTTTTAAATCATACTGAGCCCAAACTTTTGACCGATAGTGTAAATTATAGCATTTATAGATTTTATACTGTTATCTTTATCTCCTGTTTTTGTGAACACAACATTTTCAGCCCAAATAGATTGGGTTTGTTAAGATCATTTCGCATTGATAATTTGGATCTTTAGATGCTTCAAACCTGCAAATAAACTTGCTGACCTTTTGGAGATTATTTAATTTTATTTTATTCAGAATATAAGCCTTATTGTGTCTTAAAAACACTAATGTCAACATTGTATTTTAGAGCAGAGAATTATATTCAACTAAAACTAAAGCCACAAAAGTGAAATTAATTTAATGTATATGAAATATAGGGTGTATAAAAAGCAAATACGTAACAAAATAGTGCTATTAAAACTAAAATAAAAGACATTTTTAGACTAATTTTAATGACAATTAATCAGTGCTTTTTTAAAATAAATAAATGCATATAATCATTATTTTATGATTAAAACTAAGCACTGATAAAAGCATGCAATTTAGAAATGTAAGTGTAAAAGATGTATTGGTAAATGCATTAGTATTCTAACACCATTGTTACCAGTATTACCATTCTTAACCTGAAGTTTGACAATTGATTGACCTTACTTGACCTTGACCTTGATGTCTATTTCATTTACCAAGTTCAGACAGTGAGGGGATTCAATTTGTAGTCATATTTTAAAGTAGACAAATGCACCAATCCATTCTATGGTTGCACAATGTCTGAAAAAAAATGATATTGCAATATTTTGTTTTTCTGCGATACATATTGTGATGATGTTTATCATGAAGGACTTTATTTGGAAAGAATTCATCCTTTTACATTGATTGGGGTAATTTTTTCACTGGAGTGCAACTGCATAAAATATACAAAATTATACAACAAAATATTTTTATATACACAAAATTAAATAAATTAAAGTCCAGATGAAAGTTTGGAGAGTCTTAACATTCTTGAGGTACAGAAATTCAATAATTAAATGGAAAAACAGCACTCTTTAGTCATTATTATATAAATAATTAAACAATCCATCTTTGTTAATGTGGCAGACTTTATAATGTCCTGTACAAATGGCTTAAATTCATTCGAAATTGCTTGGCATCTGTGAGATGTGACTGTTGCAGATTCGCACATAGCGATATCAATGCTATAATGATATATTGTGCAGCCCTAGACTGTAAACTGCGTACTGTGTACATTGTGTGTGTGCAATACACGGTGGGCGCTCAAGGGAAAAGTGACTGGATAACAAGCTGAAACGGCCTCTCTGAGTCGGAGCCCCCGCAGCAGCCTGGCAGACGTCCAACTCCCGTCCTGATGGAAATTTATAGTGGAGATTATAACGGGGCAAAAGCATGTTTAGCAAGTGGTCCTGCCTGACCCCTTCAGGCACTGGAACACACACTCTGAAATTCATTCCTATCACACACACACACACACACCTCTAGAGCGCTAGTCATTCTGGGTCACATTCTTCTGATTTTATTTGTGGTTTTAAGACTGCTGCTTATCCAAGTCCAGTAGCTGGAGTGATGAGTCATTGCAGGCCTGCTGCTGAAAGCCCTGCAGTGCACACAGCCTTTGATGACAGGTGATAACTGTCAGCATGAATTTGGCAATGCTCAGACGTTTGTTGGTCGTCCGTATGTGTGTGTGTTCGTTCAGGAAAGAGAGGTAGGATATTTCTCTGCAGATTTTTGACAGCATAATTACAGCGGATCACCATCAGGATTGACACTCGGCTGCTTGTCGAGAGTTGATAGCTTGTAATTTAGTCACCTTTTACTTCCCGGGGCGGCAAAACAAAAATTGAAGTGTTTAATAGGTACAATCTGTCACCTCAAGAACATTAGACATCCTTTATGTGACTCTCTAAGGTTAAGTTTACTGTAAGTTCTAAATTACGATTTATTGTGTGTATTTGGTTTATTTACTTATTTATTTTTGTAGTAATATGTTATTAAAGCTGACTTGTACCAAAGACTATAGAATTCATAAGAAATGTCACTCGTGTAGTTTTGAATGGGGAAAATTCATCAAAATGGCTTGAAGAGGTGGTCTCGGTACGCTTTCAAACGAACCCTGGAGCGGTTCGTTTGTTATGAGAATATGATCCAAACTAAAACAGGTCCAACCGCTAAAAGTACTGCGCGTTTTGGACTAATTCAGCTGCTGTAGGCCGATGCGCAGTGCATTATGGGATATAGAGGAAAAATATTTGTTGACAGCGCTTTACCAACAGAGAGAGAGAGAGAGAGGGGAAAATATTACCTGATCGATCGTTGGTAATATTTCAGCAAGATGACCATGTCGCAGTTTAGCTAAATTAATTCACGCCTCCTCCTGAAGTGACGTGCGATGCATTAAAACACTGTTTTCCAGCCGCGGCCGCGCTTCATTTTCGTAATGTATAGTTTGTCTAAAGCAGGGATACAATCAGTCAGTGCAGTCGTCCCTCCTGAGTAAAAAGCAACATTTTTTGTCTGCCGGTTTGTTTACTTGCGGGAGTTCATTGGCATTTTCCCGCACGTGAATTCTGACCAATCAATAAGCAGTTTAGGAAATACTTTCAACAACATCTGGCCAATGAGAGATGTGGATTTTGTAAGATGACTGCATTTTGGTTCGTTTCAACTGGTTCGGACCAAAGCCAGCAGTGTGGTATAAAAAGGACCCAAAGACGGCAGAAGATGCAACAATGTATCATGTATTACCCTTGGTCCAGACCAAATGAAGCAAACTACAGATGTGAAAGCACCCTAAAAGAGCAGCGCAATCAGACGAAGCATCATTCAGAGGATGATTATATGTAGAACGGCCACAAATGAAGTTGGTTTCGAGATCACGTTGCTTTCAAGTGCACATGTGCATAAACTCGGGCAACCTGAAAATAAGCTGATTTTGTTTAATTCAGATGTATAGAAACAAAACTTATGAGAGTTGTTGTTTAATTTTATTGGTGGCTCCAAATATGTAATGTAATCGTAAAATTCTGCCCTGGAGGCATTTCAGAGATGGCCGCCGAGTGAAATTACTTGCCTTAAAGGGACTTTGCCTGTACACACAATAAGTGGCCATTCAGATAGAACAAATTTTCCCATTCCAAAGCGCTATATTGTCATTGTTTTTCTATGTTGATGGAGGTGCACAATGTTATACATGCGTCTTACGTCTTTTGTAGTGCCTCACACATGAGCGCCACGTTTTTAGTAAATCAAGTTAAAGGATTTAAAAAATTTACACAAAGCTCTGCTCATCAGCGTCAGTTCAAAAGCTGTGGACAAATCAATTTTCAAGCAATTTCACATGACAACTGTTAATACTAGAACCACCAAGGAGATCAATTTGACAGTTTTTTAATTTTTGCAATTGATTAACTTTAAAAAAAACACACATATCTATAATTCCCAGAATTTTACTAAATATGTGTATGTTTCCTTCTAACATTGTTGTTTTAATACATTACAAAACACAAAAGAGTTCTACCATACTACCATAGTGGTCCAAATGACTGCATCCATTTCACTGTCTGCTACTTTTCCCAGTGAACTTAAATATGAGTGCCTCTGTTGCCTAGCAACTTCCTTTTAACAAAAACAACTATACAGTACTTCAGAAATGCCTTTTAAAACAGCATGTTCAGTGCTGCGAAAAAGCCTTTGACTTTCTCTGCTTGAGAAAGTGAAAATGAAAGTGAGGTGCAAGACCTGGTTGGTCTGACGTAGCCTAAAGACTGATTTATACTTCTGCGTCAAGCGCACGCGTATACAGCCTTTGTGCGGTCATATAGCCCTCACTGTGGCTGAGGCTCACACTGACGTCTACTGGTTCCCACCTCTGAATGTGCGAGTTTTACCTACTTGTACATAAAGCTAGCAATCAGAGAAAAACAAAACACCCGCAAAGAAACTCGACACAGAGGAACATAAAAACATGCTCGACACAGAAGTATAAACCAGCCTTAACTGTACATTTATAGGCTGTATTACCAAAAAGGTTGTATTTATAGAGTGATTAATTAAATATGATGTCATTCAAAGCTTAAGTTTAATATCTCAATATAAGCTTTGAATGTAAATACGACGTGACTATGACGTTTTTTGTCAGAATGACTGCTATGGTAATTCTAATAGTATACTAGTTCTAGTGTTGGCGGAGGCACTTTAAAAAAAAACATTTCTAAACACTGCATCTCACATTTTTTAGATGCAGATGAGTTCTGTGTGAATGGCACTTTAGAAAGTGAAAAAAAAGATAGCATTTGTTTATGACTATGTGGATGTTTGCATCAGCTTTGCACTTTGACACTTTAGTTTATGTTTATTTGATTAAAAGGAAGCAATTTACTGTATTAAACATGACTTTTTACTATAATCTTAATAATCTTTTTTTACCTGTGGACTTCTGAGTGTGATGGGCAAAACTGAGGAAATAAATTGGAGATTTATTCAGTCAAAGAAGACGGAGCTTCAAAACTACACTCTCCTAATTGTGTAATCAACATGGATCCAATGGCATTCTACCATGCCAGCTACTATTTTCCACAATGACCAAATAATCCTTTGCTTCAGTCATCATTGAATTGTGATGAATTTGTCAGTGAGCAGACATTTGATGGTCGTCCATGTGTGTATGTGTTTGTTTCGAAGAGAAGTGGTTGGTTATTTCAGTCAGATTTTGACAGTGTAATTACATTGGATCACCATCAGGATTGACACTCGGCTGCATGTTGGGATTGAATAGCTGGTAAATTAGCCCCCTTTTTCTTCCTGGAGCGGTAAAAAAAGTTGAAGTGTGTAATAGGTACAGTCTGTCACCTTGAGAACATTAGATGTCCTTCAGGCTAACTGGGAGTCGCTAAGGTTAGGTTTACAGTGATTGCTTGATTATGATATTTTGCTGAGATTTCATTATATGGATTTTAACTGTGGCGTATCAGATATATATGATATCTGGTTCCAGTAGGCTAATGAAATTAACAATATCAAAGGAGGGAAAATGCTGTTAAAAGGAAACCAGGGTTTTAGAATGTGAGGGCTAAATGTAATGTAAAGGATGTCTCTTACCGAAATATGTAGTGGAAAACCTACAAAAGATGTGTTATTAAAAAAATCCACATTCATTTTGAACAATGGGGGTCACCATTTTGTGTGTAGTTTTGGACGTGAAAATGATTGCACTCTGTGAACTACTGGCAATGCCTGATACTATTTTTATGGCAACACAAGTCAAAATATAAAATACTGATATGATGCCACACATGTGTGACTGTCGAACAAGTGCAGCAATAAAAGTCTTGCTATTATAGTTTTCCCACAAGGAATCTAAACGCACCAGGATATTGAGTAAAATCCATGCAAGTAAGCTTGAACTTTCTCCTTCAATGACTGTAGCATCATGATAAGCATCAATCAGCATGTTTACATCCTGCCAGTTTTTATAAATAGGCAAAAAACAGGCAATTTTATCTGAAAAATGCATTTGCTATAAACCATTTTAATTCAGAGCAAAAGAGATTGCCTTTTTGCATCTGTTTGCTCACAACTGATTGATTGCAATCTCTGATAACCCAAATAAAAATATAGCTACAATGTAATTCGTTCTTACTTGCAAATCCATAGCAAAAGACACAGTTTTTCAGAGTATATGCAGTGTGGGTGTAGTATGTAAGTATGGGTGCTCCAAACATCCATGCTAAAAAGATTATACTTTGGTCAGTGTATGAGCTTTTTCTGTCCAAATGTTATGAGCAATAAAATGTCTTTGCATTTAATATGTAGTTGCAGGTCTCTTAAAATCCTCTCACAAAGATGAACACTGTGCACTTGTGAACATGTGCATCTGTTTTTTATTGTATCTACAATTACATGTAGTTCTGACTGAAATAACTTTAAGGTGTTGACACCTTAAAGACAAACTAAATAGTAAATAAACAATTCAAGCACTAGGGATGTACTGATTCACCTGACTCACGATTCGATACAATTTACGATACTAATCTTACAATTTCATTTAGTCACAATTTTTTAACAAAATTAATTAAAACAAATTTAAGGAGAAGAGCCCTTGAATTTTTTTCTTCAACGCTGCACATTTTTGCTATGGAAACACTCAGAAAAACAAAATCCATAGCATTCGTCAGAGCAAGCGGGCTGCAAATCATCCAGACCATGTGGTTTGGCTAATTAATTGTTTTTTGTGTGTGTATAGATGTCTGTGACAGTAGTTTTTCACTGTGCTGCATCATATTCGTCGTTCTATTAGTGCAAGTTAACGTTTTTTTGCAGTATTTGCAGCACATAGTTTGTGTTTTGACTGGTGCACTTCACCGCTGTCATTTAACTCCCCCCTTAGCGCCCTACCTCATGCTCGCTGCTCATGTACAGGTAAAGCGAGTTTACGCCTGTAAACACAGCACCCCCTCTGTTCAAAAAATGTATTGCGATTCGTTTAACATTTCTACGCTTTGAATCGTCACATATTTGAATAGATTTTCACCAACTCACGGTGAATCGTTACATTTCTACAAAGCAGGTGTCCATACATTTTTAAAATTGAGGAAAAAATTCCCTGTGTGTACTTTACTGAGGATGAAATACGTCACATCAACAGCATGCAAACATGTAAAAACCAAACTATATATTGGGTTTAATAGTGAAAGACAAAGTGGCTTTTTGTCTTTAAAAGTGAAACTGACTTTTTGATAATTTTTCATTTGTATTTATATCTGCAGTTCCTGCCGCTGAGCCCATCGAATATGCACAGTTTCCCTTCTACCTCAACGGGCTTCGCGAGACGCCACAGTTCGTGGAGGCCATCGAGAGCGTTCGCGCCATCTGCAACAACTTCAGTCGCCAAGGTCTTCCCAGCTACCCCAACGGCTACCCCTTCCTCTTCTGGGAGCAGTATGTAGGCCTACGCCACTGGCTCCTGCTTTCCATCAGCGTTGTGCTGGCCTGCACCTTTTTGGTGTGCGCAGTCTTCCTGCTCAACCCCTGGACTGCCGGAATCATAGTGAGTTTCTTCTTTACATTTGTTTTGGCTTTGTTTACATGCACATCCATCCATCACTAACTTGGCTCTGTGTAGTGTGTACATACATTTAAAGTACAAATGTAATCAAAACTAACCCTATGATTTTATTATCTCAGATTACCAGTTTTGAACAATTCACCTGTGCATGTCTTTAGGAAAAAATTAAATCATTTGCCCCTGTTTTCTTAAAAATTTGTTATATCTGAAAATGCACTTCCTGTTTGTTTTCAGTTAAATTCTCAAATTACGTCTGTCTAATGTATTAATATACTTAACCACGCCCCTGCTACTATCAGTTTCTAGAAAACAAACAGAAATAGTGCGGATGAGTTGTAATAACTCTCCCGAAACACTTTTCTCAATCTTTCTGAATGAAATGCTTTACCACATCCAATCAGCTCACAGTGGAAAAAACAAGCCACACCCAGTTTTCTATTTAATATTCTATTTCTCTAGAAACTACCTCACAATACAGAAAAATAACTGCAGCTTGCGTTTCATGCTGGCTTTAAAATCTGTATGTTTTGGTCAAAACTTCATTTATAAAAAATCTAATTTATAAAAATCAACGAATGTTGCCAAAATGGGAAATTTCATAAAATCTAAATGTTTTAATTTAAAGTTTGGCAAAAAGACTACTTATAATGTTTAAAAATATTGTTTGTTTGTTCTTTTGTGGAATTTAGTCACATTGGCATGTGTGTAAATGCTGTAGTTTACAAAATAAAACAAAGTTTTACTTTAAACAAGCAATTATAAATCATTTTTAAGTAATAAAATAATTTTTTAGCTGTGTATCACAATTGTGACCCTATATTTCAAAATTAGTTCTAGTTTTAAACTGAAACTGAAAAAAAGAATAAATAGTAATACCACTTTAACAACTCAATATTGCACTTATTTCTTTTACTGCAAACTGAATCTGTCATTTTTGTCTGTAATTTTCGCACTTTAAAAAATAAATTCAAGTTCATGTTGTGTCAGTCATATTGACACACTGCCTCCGAAACGGTTATAAAATAATTTGAACCGGGTTTGTTTTTTTCCAATTTTCGCATCTGAAAAAGTGCTTTGGGAGGTGTTTTGACAGTTTAGAGCCACCACACAAGCGAAAAGCTAAATACAGAATGCTGTCACAGTGACAAACACAGTGCATAAAATAAAGACAGAAGGTGGCGGACAGTTGATAACCTGTGACTGGCGTCTGTCAGATCTCTGCCCATCTCTGGTGTGTGTCCGTACATTTTACGTACAGCCCTTAGACATTACAATAGAAAGCATGGTCCTCTTTCAGACACATTAACGCTGCCGTCATCTATTATAATGTCTATAGGTGCTACTCTACCAGTCTCTGTTCAGAATTTGTTTACATACATGAATGTGTGAAGTATCACACACAATAAATCAAAATTCCACTGATTTCCTAAAATAAACTTTGCATGTCTAGATAATCTTGCGCAGCTCTTTGATATTGAGCTGAACTTTCCTTTTTCTCCAAGCAGTTAGTATTGGATGAACACAATATGCTGCCTATTTCGTTTTTTTCTTTGAAGAAGAGAAGAGAACAAAGTATCACTGCTTGTACAAACTCCGAAATGTTGTGCATTTTTTGTAATGGATTCATTCATGTGCATCGGACTCAGTGTGCAAGGTTTGTTTATGTGACAAGATTTTCGCATATAAATATAAAAAAAAAAAAAAAAAAAAATTAAAATTTTGCACTTCAGTGTGCAAAGACTTTTAGTTGTGACTATGTCTTTTTTATTGTTAGTTTACTTCTTAATCTCTTTAAATAAACAAGTTCTTTTTAAAAACCTCTTTACATAAAAAACTATTTTGTCACAGTTTCCTTTATATATTTTTTTCTACACTGAGGTAGAAACAAGCTTTCAAAACATCCTTGTCATTCCTCTGTGAAAGACTGTGATGCACAAGAGGTTTGGAAGTAATTAAAAGTGCGCAATTTAGAGCAAGGCAGGGGAGGGCAAGCAGGCAGGCAGAAATAGCTGAGGAGAGGCTGTGTTTTTACAGCCCTGCGCTTTGTGTTTATTTTATACTGTCAGAGCCAGTTTGTTTAGTCTACACAAGGCTTTTTTCAGACGTTTCTCTAAAATAAATGGGGAAATGAAAGGTTACCACAGCAACTATATCACTCCACATATAACATAGCGCTGCTGTTCTTGCTGAAATGTGCGTATGTGTGTCATTTATATCATTCACAAGGCCTAAATTTCTTTCCCACACTTTGTCAGTCCTTTTTTTAAGGTTTCTGTTTTATTAGGGCCAGTGTTTAAGCCATCTGACTGATCTAACTCTGTCTGACAGGATAGCGGCTTCATCCTTTTGCTTTACTGGACACTTGAAAGAGAAAGTTATAGCCCTGCTTCAGCTTTTACCGTTGCGCTTTTGTCCCAGACCACCAGCGGCCCCCTTAAACTCCATACGTTCCCCACTTCCGCCATGCTCAACCCCCCTTTTCATTTGCCAGCCCTCCCAGCCCCCAAACTCCCCTCTGTTGGCCCTCTTTCTGTCCTCTTCATCCGTCTTCAAAGGCCGCTGGGCCCCCCAGTAACCCAAGACTCATCAGCTGATTATGGCATTTACTTAACCAGTTCGTAGCCCGAGTTCAGCTCCATATGAAAGCGTCGCAAACAGGCCCTTCGGAGAAACAGATATTTTCCCACATTCCTCTGCGCTTTATCTAAGCTAGCCCATCTAAACCGAGTTGTACTTTGCTTTAAATAAAGCGTGCCCAAACTCAGTCCTGGAGGGCCAGTGTCCTGGAGAGTTTAGTTCCAACCCCAATTAGACAAAGCTCAAGCAACTAATTAAGCTCTTTCTAGGTATACTAGAAATTTCCAGGCAGCTGTTAAAGGAAGTTTAGGCTAAACTGTGCAGGACACCAGCCCTCCAGGATTGAGTTTGGGCACACCTGCTTTAAACTATGTAAAGTATGGCCGCTTGTGTGTGTGAGATGACGGATCTAAGTTTGCTGGTCTTCTCCCACAGGTGTTGGTTCTGTCTTTAATGACAGTAGAGCTTTTTGGTATGATGGGATTGATCGGCATCAAGCTCAGCGCTGTGCCTGTCGTCATCCTCATCGCTTCCGTTGGCATCGGAGTGGAGTTCACTGTTCACGTGGCACTGGTGAGTTGGTGTGCCAGTCAACATTCTTCATCTTTATATCTCAATTGCTAGTGCACTCATTATTCTTACAGAAGAACCATGAATGTAAAATATTTGAAAAAATCACACGTGAAACACACTTGAAACACATGAAATAACTTGTTTTGGAATAAAGTCTTTTTCACATGAAAATGTTTCAAAATGTGAAATGTTTCATGTGTTTTGGATATGATCTAAATGTGTTACCACATATTTTGAAACATGCAATTTTGGAACATTAGCTGCATCTCAAATGGCATACTATGCACTTATGTGCAATGTACTTATGCAATTACACACTCAACTGCATAATATATGTATGTAGTGTCGTCCCAAATGGAACACTAATGTGGAAATTCAAACCGTTTCCCAGATAACCTTTGATGGTTGCCAAACTAGTAAAATAAATGAACAAAGTACCAAATAATACCTGCCTTGAGTATAACTGCATTCACCATCGTGAGGCGCTATAATCACTCTCGTAGTAGAATACTGCTTTCAGAATTCAAAACAAATAATGTAATCCAACATGTGCGCCTGATAGCTCCGCCCCTACGTGAGCTAAGCAGTGGCTGTTGAGTGCATGAAGTGTCCATCATTCAACACTTTACCGAATGAATGAGTGCATCATGTGGGTATTTAAAGTGCACTTATTCTTCTAAGAGTTTTCAGTGTGAATGCACCACTTTCACTATTTACACTACAAAATGGCGTAGAAAAGTGGAGAAGTATGCGATTTGGGACGCATGTGTGTTTTACCTATGTTCCAAATGTGTTCCACTTAAGTTAAAATGTGTCATTTTGGAAGATCATGTGTGTCCCACATTTTCCAGATGTATAGATGCACATTTTCCGTAGGCATACAGTATGTTGGAAAAAATGTGTTTTTTGGAACATTGTGTGTCTCACATGTTCCAAATGAGTTGATGTATGGTTTTGTTTTGCAGATCCATTTTCATGTGGGGGGAAAAGTGATCACATCATTTTTTTTTTTCACATGAAAATGTTTCATGCATTTTTGAAAAAGTTTGATGGTTTACATGTAATTTGAAGCTTGTGTGATTTTTTTTTTTATGTAAGGGTAGGATAATTACCAGATGTCATAACTAAGTGATTCATTTTGATCATATTTGTCATATTTTCCTATCAGGCATTCCTCACAGCCATCGGTGACAGGAACAAGCGAGCCGTTCTTGCACTGGAACACATGTTCGCCCCAGTGCTGGATGGAGCGTTTTCTACTCTGCTAGGAGTCTTGATGCTGGCAGGGTCAGAGTTTGACTTCATAGTCAGGTAAAGACTGAAGGCTTGTATTTTGAATCGTTTTCAGCTTCCTGGATTGTAGTACATTTAGGGCCAGTTTTTCGAAATAAGTGCGAAATTACCATTTTATAAATGTGCTGATAAGACTTGAAAGTTGTTTGTGTAACCTTCCAATCTTTGGACATTTTCATAATGTCCAACACAGCACATAAAATAGCACAAAATAGGTTGCGAACAATCTGGCGATAATAATGTGTGTGTAGTCTAGTAACAGTATGGAGTGCAGAATTGATTATAACATGCTTTCTTAGGTGTTAAATAATGGTGTAAATAGCAAATACTCTTATATAAATGTTGTGTCCGAAAGGGAAACTCCTACAAATGCATGTGCAAGAAGATCAGCTACAAAAATAACTGTCTAGCCCTTGTTATTGCTAAGGTTTTATTGCATGTTTTTTGGAAATCCTGACAGTAGTTTTAATGTCAAAAGAGCTGACCCAGAGCTGCAGTAAGTCTGGCCCATAAAATGTACTCTAGATTAAATTAAGATCAGATGAAAGTTAAAAAACGAATGCATATTTTTCTTGCTTAATAGTCATTTCAGATTTCTTAAACACTAACTGTGTTTACATGTGCACCAATAATGTGATTCCTGAAATAATGTGAAATTCCTGTAATCAGAGAAAAGGTTTTAATAACACGAATGATATTTACATGACAAGTGTGAACCTCACTTCACTCCTGTTTCATTCTAATTATTCGCTAAAATGTGTGGTTGTTTTTGCAACCGTGCTTCACACACATTCAGAGTCTACTTGCATGGATGTACAGGAAGGTGTTAGGATGTACATTACAATGCTGTAACTAGTTGTGTCTTCACCACTTCTGAATACAAAATGGTGCCAAAACTATACAGCAAGTAGTGTTGATGGAGTTCAGTGATGCAGAAGGAGGGAAACTTCTGAATAGAGTCAGCAAGTTTATTCATGAAGTTGTCAACAACACGCACTATCCGTGTATGTCTGAAAACATGAACACTTTGGTCAAAACACTAATAACGTGATTAAGGTGTTTGGATGGCAGTTTATTGTGATTTTAAATGCGAATACACCACATAGTTTAATGCAATTATGGTTATGATTATGAGCTTAATAACATAGGTGTGACCAAAGTGTTATGTTTACATGAAGTCAAGTTTAATTGCCGTATTCCCCAAATCACATTATAATCGCATTATGAGGGTGCATGTAAATGTAGTTATTGTTAGTATGAAATAGCTGATATTTTTCATGCTCTGATGAGACAAGATGTGACTGTTCGATTGACTAGCAAATTTTCTGTTCACACTGAAAACTAAAATATTTATAATAAATCAAAATATAAATTAAATTATATTTTAGTGGCACTTATTATGATTTCCAAATGCTAGCCTTGTTCACCCAAAATGACAATTTTATCATTATTATTTATTCTAGGATTTATTTTTTTTATTTGCTTTATTTTGAGGGATGTAAATAATAACAATCACAACGTATTTCCTGTTTTACATTTTTAATGTCTATAGCTTCCGAGAATACAAAAAGAGCCACATGCTGATAAATAACGTAATGAGAGCTGTTTTAACATGAAGTTGAATTTATTAACATTGAATTACCTCTTGTTACAGTTATAAAATAGTTTGATGACAAGCAGGAAATGTTCATGTGCCAATGACATGACCACATTGAAATGGTCTATATGAAGCAGTTGTGCTTTTTTTTTTTTAAAGCATTTGAATCATTTGGATTCTTTTTAATAAGATAATGAACTTTCTGAAGCATCAACATTTTAGTAGAATAGAATTCCAGTGGGGAGACAAAACTTTCTCAGTTTTGATTATAAAAATCACTTGCATCTTAAAGATGAATGAGTCAGGGTTCCCACAGGTCCCACAGGTTGACATGCACTTGCAAAGTTTCTTATATCAACCTTCTAATAAACCTTGATTTAAATAGAACTTCACCACAACCATGGTTGACCAAAGTGCTTTTCACAATTAAAAGCAAATTATACAGCACAACTAACATGCAGACAATGCAAAACAATACAAGAAATATTTAAAAAAATACAACAAACATTAAAACGTGAAGAAATGTCAGTGCCATGCATTAAAAGCCAATTTAAACAAGTGGGTCTTGCATTTGGCTTTAAAAAGTGGCAGATCAGTTATTGTACGAAGCTCAGTAAGAAGGGTATTTCAAAGTTTAGGACCTGCCACTGCAAAAGAGTGATCACCCTACTGATTGCATCTTCAAGCAGAAGTTGGTCAACAGATCGCAAAGCTTTGCAGGGTTTGTTAATGTGCAAAATTTAGCATAAATAAGTAGGAGCAAGGCCATTGATGGCATCAAAACCATACATCAAAAGTTTAAAATCAATTCTAAACCTAACAGGGAGCCAGTGGAGGGAGTAGAGAATAGATGTAATGTGTTCACTTTTCCGACTGTTAGTTAACATGGGAGGAGCAGCATTTTGCACAAGCTGCAAACGATGAAGCCATGGCTGGTTAACTTCAACATATGCATTACAGTAGTCCAAACGTGGCTTTCTCAAGATCAGCCTTGCTTAGGAAGTCAAATGTCTGTTGTCAGTTAAATGTCTGTTGAAGGAGCAGTATCCACAGCTACTAATACTCAAATGGACCATTAAAATAAAGTGTTATCGATATATTTTCCTTATTGTCTGCTCAGTGCTCATTGTAGGTCGTGACAATTCAGCTTTTGAGTCAGTGAAAGTCAGGGAATTTGACATTTGTCTTAGAGTGGAAACCCTGATGAATCTAAGATGATGACAGAATTTTCATTTTGGGTGAACATACGCATCTAAATATCAGGTATGAACAGGAACTAATATTTAAATGGAGTGTGAATGAATAATAACATAAACAGAAAAAAAATAGAACCCAGCTTACAAAATGTGTCACTCATTAATGGTTTGTACAGGAACTTCGATTCAAACCTGAATCTTTTATCGCGTTTGTCACATCATGCCTGGTTAGGACATAAAATAAATGTTTTCCTAACTCTCCACTCAGCCCTAACCAACCTCCCTTCACTTTCTACATGAGCACGGATCTCTCTCGTCTTTCTTCACAAACCTTGAGGCTCTCCTGTGTTTTTTGTAATCTTTTTTTTTTTTTGCTAGACATTTACAAGCAGAGTGCAGAGAGGGCCTGGGGCTTATTTTGCAGCAAGTTGAGGAGTGGAAATGAGGAGTGACACACACTGCTACTTAGAGGATCTAAATCAGTAACTTTGCAGGGGCTTTATGTTTTATGCGCACAGATGAGTCCAAACAAGTATGGTGATTTATTCTTTCTTGGAGTGGTATCGAGAGTGAAATTCAAATCGCACTTCTTCTTATTTCCGAGTGAGTCATGGGTGTTTGAGTGATATGTTTCTAGAGGAGGGAAGGAAGGAACGAATGTCTGCAGTAGCTCATTCTTATTAGAGGACTGGAAAGCCACCACAGCCCTCCACCCTCAAATCACTCTGGATCTAAAGTAGCACGCCAGAAAAATAATGCACACACACAAGTTCAGAGCAATCACACACACAAGCTCTCTCTCCACAGACCACATTGGGCCCCAGTCCCTCTCATGGGCTCCCATTGAAACACAACTACTGTTTTTTCATCAAACAAAACCCCCTGGCCTCCGAAGATATGGAAAAAAACAAAAACGCTGGCTGTATTTTTATAGCCTTGCAGGAATAAATGTTTCCCTGACTTTGCTCCGTCAGGTCTGCTAATGTTTTGAGACCAAACAGATCGGACGGGTTGCGAGGCGAGGTTTCGTGGCTTTCGAGAACCGCTCTCGGTTCACGGACCCTTCACGCAACGTCTTTAGAGTTCGAAGTTGAAGAACATAAAACTCTTTTGTTGCTTTAGCTAGTCTGAAAAGCACATCGGCGTAAATCACTCGTCAATACCGGCGTTTAGTTTGGACCATGCGACTTTCAGAGCAGATTGAGCAAGACGATGTTCATTTGTCATCGGCTGTTGATTTGTAGCTATTGATCTGTTTGATCTAGAGCAGTTGTTCTTTTTTCATCAAGTACCACCTCAGAAAAAAAATTCTCTTCACGTACCACCATAATGACGGCATATTCATTCCTGTTCTAAGGCCCCATTTACTCTATTAGTTTTAGTTTTAAAACAGCATTTTAGAATAAAAACGATCCCCGTCCACACTGGTGTTTCACCTAGCGTTTCTGAAAAACTCTCCGTCCATACTACACTGCACATTACGTGACCACACACACACACTCTGGCATGTACTGCAGCGTTTGGACGTCTGAGCTCCAGGCAGTCATCTACACAGATGAGAGCTGTGCACGTCGGACTGTTCATTGAGGATCTACCGCTGGATCTAATCTCACTATATTTGCTAAATGTAATATTTAATTATTCTTGTTCTCTATATCTAACTACATGTTCCCCGACTTCGGTCTTTTGAATCAATTGTTCTCAGGTAACATGTTTTGGCTGAGAGCAAAGATAAGTTAATTAATCAATGTAACCACGTACACTGATTCTGCACCTTTGATTGATTACTTTATTTCCTATAATATATAAACTTATTGCATGTTTTACTTTAATAATGGGCATTATTGATTATTAAAACTGATATTCAGCAAAAAAAGGGGTATGTTTTGTATTTCCAATGCGAATGAAAGAAGGAAGTAATTTTATAGGCTCTATTTTCTTTATCGTAAATATGGATAACGTTACAGTGAAGATGACGCTCATATAAATATGGAGCTACACGCCGTCTCAACATTTTTGCCATCTGTTAAGTTAATATCAAAATGAAAATAGGCAGTTCCTTATATCATGTTTTCATTTAATTGTTTAAAAGTAAAAACATCGTAGCCAGGAGCGATGTGAATGAGGTTATAAAGTACACTGTTCCCTTTGAATATTTACCCAACATGTCCTCGGGAGTTTGTTTTTCCATATCAAACTTGTGAAGTCTGAACTTACAAGGAGAG